CCGAGGAATGAACGGCCTCGGCCAGAGAAGCTAGTTCGAGTTGGGACCCTGAATGCGGTATCGCTAATTGGAAAATCCCGACAGGTTGCTGATCTCGATGACGCGCAGGAATATCAAGTCCTGTGCCTTCAGGAGACGCGATGGAAAGGCGCTAAGGCCAGGGAAATCGGGGAAGGTGTCAAGCTCTACTACAATGGAGAAGACACCAAGCGGAACGGTGTGGCCATAGCGGTAGCGGAGTCGCTCAAGGACTATGTCTCCGCTGTGAACAGGATCAGCGATCGGATCATGGCTGTGAGGATAGACACGAAGGAGGGGTACTGGACCATACTCTCCGTGTACGCACCGCAAGCCGGATGCCCCGAAAGTGAGAAGGACGAGTTCTACCTAAGCCTTGACGAAGCCATCAGATCGATCCCGGAAGCGATTACCTGACCATAGCAGGTGATCTGAATGGGCACGTCGGCAGCGACAGAAGAGGCCTGGAAAGGGTGCACGGAAGGTAGAGGGGATTAGAAATGCTGCCTGGTTTGTGGCAGTGCTTTGCGCAGTAGCAATAGCCCTTATCACGATTCTGATCACATGTTGTTGCGAGGAACGACGAGGTGGTAATTATGCAGTGCGAAGAAAGGTAATGGTGAAATTTTTCAAGTCTACTCCTTTGTAATGTGTTAAAAATTACATATTAGGAAATTTCAATTTCAATTTCAATTGAAATGGGTACCCAGAAGTGGAAATTGCTCCATTTTGACACCGAGCATCGTTTTGCTCAGATTTTCCTCTCGGCTCGGCCGAGCGATTGGCATGCGACGGACAGGCGATGAAGCTATCGCGATCCTTATGTGGTGCAGTCTATGCTTTTTTTCAGGAGATGGAAATCGGCCATCAATTGGAAAATGATGAGGAGCGCCAATTTCTTGAATATCAATATGGGTATAAGTCGTAGCTCAAGTTGTATCATTCCATCTTATCAAATCGCAGCGTCCAATTTATGGACGCAGATCCTGTATGTACTGTTGCTTCTGCCACGCCATTGCTACGAGGACTTGTCTCCTTCGAGGGAGAGTGCTCAGAAGTGTCACAGGGCCATTTAGACCGAGTTTCGTTGGCTATGTTGCTAATTCTGTTATGATCCCGTTATCAATTATCTTATGAACGATCAATCGCTACCAAGTCTCATCTCTGTATTATATTTCCACGACGGTTGTTGTTATGCTGATTCTGTTTTTCTGGCAGTCAAATAAAATTCTTTCTGACTGTGGTCCGCTCTTATGTGGCAAGGAAAAGCACAAGCTTGTAACCTTGAGCGTCCGGTTGCCCTTCTTATTGAAGACTTGTCCAACAGTAGATTGTCTTCTCATTGAGGGTATTGATCAACAAATGAAACGCAATACGGAATCAAGACAAAGCCTACTAGCATCTATGCTTTCAAGTCAATCTGCTCGTGTCGGTTAGAATTTAGCATTTGCATATTTGTAAAACCTCCTGTTGAAGGCAACGATCACGACAGGTTCAAGAAAGGTTCACAGAAGGCGTAGTGGTGCTCAATGGTACGCCACTAGCGAAAAAAACAAAGGAGAACGCAAAACGGGACTCGGTTTTTCGGCCATTAGTGCTCGTGATCAGGTAACAGCTCTGAAAGCGGAGGTATGAACGAGTTCATCGCAACGCGTTTGGTGGCACAATGCCGCCGCCATCATGCCAACAAGCATAGTGTTTTGATTGATAAGGCATTACATGGGTAAGTTGGCGATACAGCCGATAAAAGGGAAACGACGTCTCCAAAATGAAAAGCCAACAGCAGACAGCTCGCCCAAGTCATCATCCTGCACAAAAAGTGGCGTAACGCTGCTGGAGGCGGAGTGCTGCGGAGGTCCTGCTCAGCAACCACAGCACCTTTCGCCGTGGAAGCGCCACACATCGCTTCCTTGGCAGCCAAGTAATTGCTCCGTGTGGCGCAGGTTCTCCCCCGATGCGAAAATTCCTTATCGTAATCGCTTCCTTTAATACCACATCTGCCACACTCACATGTGGGCGCACAAACAGACTAACAGATGAACAAACCTGAAAGCCACACACCATAGTTAGGTGATTTTAATTGGCACAAGCATTCTCTAACTTTGCTTACTGAGGGAGCACTAGACCTGTGCGCGCGGTCTAAAGCACTGGTACATTGCATGTTCGTCAAGCTTTCGTCACCTACGCTAGATTCATCGCCTACTTCATCCTGCGTGTGCGATCTCCAACCAGGGTCAAGCGAGGCGTTGAGGAAAATTTGGAAATACGACCCCCCCCCCACCACCCTCCGCCGGAGGCCGAAGTCCATGAAACAACCCTCTTCAAAAGCCGAACTATGAAAAGGTTGAAAAGCTTGTTTAATTCTCCCCCAAAACTGCTCATAAAAAAGCCCTGCTACCCCACCGCCCACAAAAAAATTCGTTTAAGAAGTACAAAAGTGAAAAAGTCAAAGAATAATCATTATTGATGAGTCCTACCAAACGAGCAAACGAGCAAAACGACAAACTAGCCACTAAAAATGGCATACTATGACAACATCTGTTCTTTATTTATTTCCTCCACAAGACTTACCAAATTCTAGTACTACACAGATTGTGGTTCTCAATTTGCACGTAGCCCTTCAGTTGAAAGAAGCTTTTTAACCGCCTTCGCCAGCTGTGTGTTGACTGGACTTTGGCGTTGACCGTGGAGCAGCTTATTTACTATTGAAATTTGAACAAATATTCAAATGATTATAACTTTCTTCAAATATGACGAATTTTCAATCTGAAAGCAGATTTGGGAGTTTTGTGAAGAGCTTTTTCTAATCAGTACTGAAATTACAAAAAGTTATAGAAATAACAAATTTAGATCAAATAACGAGGAAAATTCGAGACGAGCACGAGTTTTTACACTTTCCGGAGCAATAACTTGCTTCATTTCCGTCAAATTCAAAAAGTTGATACGTCATACAAAACTAGAAGATTTTCTCTATCAAACGGTCTAAAGCAGCTTCATACGTCCAGTACTCAAAAAATGGCCACGTTGAGGATTTTTGCAAAATTAACGAGGAAAATTCGTGATGAGTGCGAGTTTTTACGCTTTCCAAAGCCATAACTCCGTTCAAACTCATCCAATCCGAAAAGTAAATACGCCATCATAAACTAGAAGATTTGCTCTATCAAACTTACTAGAACTGCTCCAAACGTCCAGTATTAAAAAAACGGCTACGTTGAGGATTTTCGCACGAGTACCGCCGAAAGGTACTTTTTCGCTACATTGGCACTATTTCAACGGCTGTATATCCTTTTAAGGGCGATTATGTACTAAAGTAAGAGCAGATTTGGAATCACTGCTTTTCTCTTTCTAAGAAAAGTGATTGATTAGCGTTTCTCAACTTTAAAGGTTACATGTTTATAAATTTAACCCTGAAGAGTCCGTTAACGCAATGTTGAATGGTGTACACCTCCCTGTAAATGCGCACGGACACTTTCAGAATTCTCTCGATTGTTCCTGAATTGAGGTTGTTTGTCCAAGGAGCCGTAGTTGAAGCGCGCGCAACAACTAGACCCTTTCTCGGATGCGCCGTGTACCTCACATCCCCAGATTCGGGGTCTTACTTGAAAGATGAAATATCTCTTGGAAAGCGTGCGAAATTCAGATTCTTTAACTTGTGTGGTGATAAAACACTGAAGTAACTAAGAATTACCGGACGCCTCAGAATCACGAAAATTTTGTGTGGGTGAAATATCATTTTCATTGGAAATCCTCTGGCCTGGCATCGACTCATCCTTGATATTTGTCTTCCGACGGTGATGATCCCACTGCATCAAAATGGCTCGATCTCTTCCACCCAGCGGGCCAATACGACCCCCCCCCCCTGCGACGTGTCGAGGATTCCTCAACGCACGCTTGACCCTGCCACAAAGATACCGGGCCAGAATGAAACATAGTAATTAGGGACAAATAAAACACCACGAAACATTTATTGAAAATATTGAGAACTGCTACAGCTAAACACAAAGAAGGAAAAAAAGAAGAAAAAAGTAATCAAAATAGGTGCCCATCAACTTCTGAGAGATTGCGAATATTCAATGAAATCGTTATTTTGGGCCACAAAATTCCACACGGTATCCATTTGTTCCTGAATTTCCTCATAACTTCATTGGTCAATGCTTGCGAAGCGTTAGCGTGGATACTCAAACGAGTACTTGTTTGCATACCTCAAGCATGGATGTCGCCTTTTCATCCTTTGTCATTGCCCACTGATTATCCACACTACTGAAATGTCAAAAACATTGAACATTCCTGTAGTTTCGAAAAGGACCATAAAATAGTTAATTCGAATGTATCACATAGTTATTCTAATTCTTTCCAACCTACCCGTCAGTGGAGCAACAACTGTTACCTACGCCAATGCTCTCTGCCAGTGCGATTTTCTCCTGAAAGCAAGTTGTCTTGAGAAAGAGCCAGTTTAGTTTTAGGCAACAGAAAGTTTGTATCGCATTGATGTAAATTTTGCGCCTTCTCTACTACTTTAATACTCCTCGCCGTTTTTGTGTTACTTTGGGAATTTTTAGCTTTTCTGATGTTTAACTAATACTCACTTTTAACCTTAATTTCAACACCTATATACACTGCGTTTCATAAATATAGGTCCACCCTAATTTTTTGCTATTCCAAAGTTGCTGTGCATTTTTGGAAAATGCCGCTATTACCAATAGTTTCCCCATAACGAAAAACCTTGATACTTGATTTCTGGAGAAATCTCGATTCAGAATTATTAAAATATCTTCCTTAGAACGTATTTTCACCGTTTCGCAAATATGACTACACATCACTTGTCGAGAGATTTTACTATAACGAAAAAACGTCACGAATTTTCAATAATGGGATGACCCCCCAATAATCATAAGGAACACAATAATACGTTTTGAAATGCTGGTAGCCAAATTAGCTATTACAGTAGGATCGAAATTCGTCTGGGCGCCGATGATCGACCTTTTCAGCTTTTCGGCTGTTCCATTTTGCTTTACTTTGCTGTGGAACTTTATAACAAATTAAGGCCCAATGATTCTCTATTGGAATCTAATTCAGATAACATGGTGGCCACCAGATAACTGCCACATTTTTTCCTGCAATTCCATCTGGCGCGGAGGGACCGGCATGGACAGCCGCGTTATCGTGTGTGAAAATCAAGGATAGAGGGGATCCTTGTTGAAAAAATGGTAAGACTCGCTTCGAAAGAACTTCACGATACCCTGTGGAATCTTTGTGAACGGAAACAAAAGCGAGCTCTAGCTACTCAGTCGTTCAAAGGTGCCTCAAACCATAAGGGATTCACCGCCGAAATTACGTTACATTGAAACCATCTGCGATTTTCACGCGATCATCCTGTACCCTCTTTTTCTGCCATATCCACCTAGAATAAACTTTTCCACGTCGATCTCAGACCACCTGTAGAACGAAACAAGGAGGTAGAGTCCAAGATCGCGAAGGGTCTTAACAGCCACACCATCGCTCATTAAGTTGAGCCCTTTTCCACGGAGAAATGGAGACTTGCGATCTTGTAGCGCTCAAATAATCTTGGAAACGCTCTTCATCAATCCGTTGAAGATGTTATTGCTCTGCTGGCTTACTCACCACACGGTGGTTTTGCTCACGGAAGGCCGCATTTCAGTACGGACTTTGTTCGGACTCCTTGTATAATTCGAGAGAAGACACCCAATTCCTCCTAAATTTTGAAGGAAACGCAGTCTTTATTTACCTAAGCGACTCTTCTCTCCGCACTGACCAGGATTTTGCACATAGTCGCTTATGCAGTATGAGCCGGCCGACATGGGAGGAAATTCTGCTCCTCAGCTATCCCACTTCAGTAAGTGCTCTAGCTTGAGCTTGTTACTGGGAAGAGAGGCGAATAACACGAGGTATGGTAAACTCGATGTCGACTGAGCCCACATATTTCCCCGCTTCCCTGATTCCCTTCACGGATCGTGAGAAATGGAAACTTTTTATGAGTGGCCCGATATTCATGAAACGGTGAAAATTCGTTCTAAAAAAGTTAATTGGGTTACTTGAGGGGGAAATTTGTCAGAAAAACACTATGAAGGTTTTCCGTGATGAGGAATCTAACGGTGATAGCAGCATTTCCAAAAATGCACAGCAACTTTGGGGTAGCAAAAATTTAGGGTGGACCTATAATTATGAAACGCAGTGTATATTAGGTTGAAAGAAAGTCCTGCAACACTTTTTCAAATTTTTGATTTTAATTTTATCTTTTTTGTTTACAACTCCTGACCGGTCTTATATCTACCATGAGTGTCCACCACTTGTCTTCAACGCTCAGAAAATTTCTTGATGCTCCTTTGCCAAAACCCAGCGGAGTGCGGGTCGAGAAAGGAGGCGACCTCACTTCCGAGTTGGAGTTGATCGTCTAATTATTTCGTCATCAAGATGATGATTTAAGTTCCAGGATAGGTGGCAGTCATTTATAGCTCGACCAGGGGATTACGCTAAGAGAGGTAAGAAATCTTGCCGCAGCTCCAGAATTTCTTACCGGGCTCATTTCGGATCATGGTGATTCGCAATGTCATGAAAGAAATGAATATTGTCGCGGTACGAGGGCTCCTGACGAGCTGCCTCGGCCAGCTTCTGGAGTTCCGCAGCCTAGACCTCTACCTACACAATGGTGCCCATAACGAAGAATTTGTAGAGCTTCCGTAGGAGCCCTTCCTGTAATGGAGTGTGTAGGACGCTGCTGGCTTCTTATAAAAATATCAAAAGATCGGAAGCGCTGGTAAAGGTGAAACACGCTGTAGCGGTGAACGGCATGCCTTTTGAAGCATTGCAGATAGTGTTGGTCTTTGACACGAATCCATAGTTATGGAGACATTTAGACAGTGACTCGGAGTACGGATTTACTAGTGGTCGAGGTTTTTTGAATTTTCTTGGATAACTACTGACTGCAGCACTTATATCCACCTCGTGGATTGAAGCCTCGAGAATGCTCTACCATTTGGTAGTCATAAATGTTACCTATGAATTTTTCAGAAAAAAAGAAAATTTTGGAAAGAGTGTTGCAGAACTTTCTTTCCAACCTAATAGATGTTCCCAGATTAAGGTATCATCAGAACTCTACCTACTCTTGTCTTTGTCTCGAAGCTCAATGGACGTGGACAGTGCAGTGAAGGAGGACGACAGAGAGGAAGCTTGAGCAGCATTCAGCAAAAAAGCCACCCATTTTGTGGCTGCTTCACAACATCGCCCTAACCTGTCTATTACACAAATTGCCTGTACTATGCTACAAGGCCGACACAGTAATGCGCAGAACGTGCAAGGCTATAAAAGGGGACTTCAGGATTACGTCGGACTAGAAGAAGGGCACATATATTTTATTAAAGGTAGGCGGGCTACCTAGAGGTTCGGGACGTTGGGCATTTCGCATTGAAGAGTATGCACCCAGCGGCCTAGAAAGGCCGATTTGAGCCGATCGCTCCGTGGCCCGCCCACCTCTGGCTGTAGTGGTCTGTCAGAAGAAGAGTGTTAGCGCTGAAGAGGGCAGCACCGATGTTGAGTCGCATCAATGCGAAAATCAACGGGCAAGGAAGAGGTCCCACTCCTCGGCTGTATGGCCATTTCTCATGGTTTTTCTTTATCTCGGCCCTACTGACCACCTTGACCTTGGCTTCTAATAGGCTACCTTTTCATCGTTAACTCTGCCTTTGACTGTGATTTACAAACCGTTCAATCGGTTTATCTGAAGCTCAACCGGTGAACTCGAAGTTGAGCCAGACTCCGCAGCTTTGACCTATGCAGAACATTCCATTTCAGTCATGTGAAGTAACAACCGGGCGCGAAGATGTGATGGGTCAATCATGTCATCAGCGAGGGGACCACCGAGGGAGAAGAGACCAGTCGACTGGCTGTTATGGGATGTTGCCACTAGTCAAATGTAAGACACGTACGAATGCTGGTAAGCGAGTTCTCAGTGCCATACTCATCACCAACTTTTACATCAATCATGGACGACAATTGCAAAGGACCGAATCGTCTGGATGCTCCACTGGGGCTCAATCCAGGAACACAAGTTGTAGACATATTGCAAGTAAAATCACACTTACATCTTTGTCGAGCAAGTTTAAAGGGGTCCGTAGAACTTTCTCCGTCAGTGCATTCCCGTGATTGTCGACAGTTGCAATGAAATTCATCGGAAGTGCAGGGTCTTCTATGACCTGAATCGTTGTAGGTTTATATCTGATCTTTACAAAGATAAATGAGAGTTGACACAGCGTGCAAATGTGAGAGACCGAACACAGCAAAAAAGGCGCATGTGGAGCTTATTTTGGCACTACGGATTATCACCTTCCGGAGTCTTCTAGCTCTCGTTTGTGTTTGCGCTGTTCGTTTATTTTTCGAGCTCACCTTTATTTTTGCGAAACCTTGCTTCATGAAGCAATTGTAACATTTCGATGGCGAGAACCCACTTTTCGAGATTATTTCCGAAGGAATCCGGTCATCACCTTTTCATTGACAGCATTTTTTCGGTGTTAACAAAAATGCGCAGGCTAATTTGAAAAGCTTTACCACTTCGCAAAAGTTCTTTCTCAACGGTCTTAACCTTGTAAAGATAGACAGGTGTTCCGGCACATGCTATGATGAATAATCTGTCTCAGTTCCCTTCGCTAAGGCAAAAAATTAACACAAGATCAACACCCTTTCTTTAGAAGATTGACCTCCTTCTGTGTCGCATATCCATGGAAGAGAAAAATTTAGAAATTTCTCTTGGCACTATCACAGCCCAGTCAGGAGCTCTAGAGAATCAAATTCGTGAGGATGAGCCTCAAATGTAGAAAAAAAGTAGTAATTTTTGCATTGGGTGAGCTGAAGCACGATAGAGGCCCTGTGCGTTTTGAACTGAAGAAGTAATTTGAAGAAATAGGAGACAATGGAAACAAACCGCCTTCAAAAGGGTTTTGTCAAGGTACATGCGCCCTGATAGGACTTGACTCTCGATCCGATATTGGTTGAGAAAAATTTGAACGTAACTCTAAACGAATGTTTTCTATTTCACAATAACGTTTTCATTTTTGTATTTATATGTACATTTAGAAAGCAAACCATAAGTTATCCGGGTGAAACTCGGGTTCGGGGGGGAGGGAGTGGGCGAGCTACGCGATGGCGCGGCGCTGTTTTCATCTGCTTTACCAAGGCTTACAATTAGTCACCGATGGCGCGTATTTTGAAACTGCCACATAATGGCGAAAGAGTAACTGTCCCTGTGGACTAAGCCCGGGAGGAGCAGACGAACAGAGCGCCGCGCCATCGCGTGCCCCCCCCCCAACCCGTGTTTTACCGTTATTTGTTATATCCAAAGCATTTTTAGGAAATTGAACCCATTTTACATATACACTGCATCGCAGCTCGAAATGCGATCTAGTGATTGGGAAGGTGAGGAAAGGTTGTCGAGATGCCTTGATGCAAAGTCACAGTCACAGTTACTTCCCCTCGGTATCGCACCCCAGCCCTTACTTCGCAGCATGTCAAACCACCGAATTCTCCACATGTCGAAAAAAGCGAAACGGCAGCGATGGGCAGCACCACGCAAGGTACTTGAAGTATAATATTTCAGAGCCATCATGGGCCGCTGAAATTCGAAGTCGATCCCCAACAGGCTCAACCGTGACGTTCGCCCTTTTTTGGAAAATTTGCGACCCCCTCCCTTAGGGGGGTCGCTCTACCACCATGAGACTCATTAGGCAATCTACAACCCCTGCTAGCCTACCTCGACCCCCTACCTCGCCATCACGACTGTTTTTCTAAAGTATTTGATTCTGAGACCAGTCGACACATCGACACAGCCCAGCTTCGTCGACTTTCCCTCCAAAAAAGCGCCGATCGAGCAGAGTTTTTGCTACCTCATGCATGTTATCCGTTTTATCCGCAATTTATTCTGTCGCTAGAATTTATTTTTAACTATTCAAGTACTCGGGTGCTACCTGAAGCACCAGTTTGATCGTTTTTTTTCGTTGGCTTTGAAGTTGTGTTCCTCCATGTGCCGACACATGCAAATAAATACCTTCTTCAATCTCTGATTAATAGAGGGCCAACTAGCGGGTATTCATATAGATGACATGTTTGTTTCCAATGACTGCACAACTCTAAACAATACATAGGGCGAGCGAATTATTCTAACAAGCTCATTCGGGTCAACCACTTCGTGATTGATTTGAAGTGTTCAAACGATGCGTTACCACATCAGTTTTGGCTACTTAAACGCCAAAATTACTGCATTGCTTACATCTAAAGGCTTAAACTCACGAATTTCTTGCCACTGGAATTGTTCAGGGATAGGGTGATGTCGTTGAAAATTTCCAAATATCACGTGAATGAGCGCTGTTACGTTGTATCCAATATGACAGATTGAGTTTGACCTTATAAGAATCGTTCCCGGAAAAATCATGTTTCCATTTCACATCCATAAAGGATTGCGCTGGTAGTCATTAACCCATTAGCGACCGCGCGGGATTGCGCAATAGCAGTACAGTCAGGGGATTTTTGTTTGATAAACTTTGAGTGGACGGAGATTGATGAATGAGGGTATGAAGATTTTTTTCGTGGAAGAAAATGTACCAAATTCCATAAGAAACCCGGCAGCCAACGGTGGACTCCATTGCCCGAGTGAGATCTTTGGCAGCCACCGGTGGATGCCATCGTCACGAACGGGTTAAAATGTAGTCTGGAGGACATTTCGGTAGCCATCAGCGCGACCCTCTGCATCTCTTCCAATCGCATTGTCATCCCCTTTGTTCTTCTCTTTCCCCATTTTCACACGGACGCTAAAGAGATCGACCGCTGTCTGCATCCATCGCAACTTCATCTCATATTTTTGATGAGCAGCTTCTAGGAACCCAGTTTGACAGCGTTGTTTCGTGCAGTTTGACAGCGTTGTTTCGTGCACTTCCTCATCTTCGATACCGGCTACGTCGGTAATTCCCTTCATTCATGACGGTGTGCCGTCCACTAAGCAAGGATAATAACACTATTATTATGTTTTGCAGAATCATGAGGAGAAAATTTTGACGAGTTAGATGATGCAGTTATGAGCCCTGCTTTTCTGCTCTTTGCGTTCCTGACACGCCGCGTTATCACAGTATTTATAGTCCACCCCGTAGTTCTTGACAGCAGTGTTCAAAAAGAAGATCAAAAACGTACACCGTTTAAGTTCTGCTTGGCCGAGTTTTCTGGAGTTGCTCCTTTTCTTTTTGCCGAAGAGAAAATTACAGCGTTTCGAATGGTGGCCATGAATTCACTCCACAGTTTCTCAATCTGAAAATATGAGAGGTACATGGGGATGGAAGACGTTAAAGAGTAAGCAGAATCTGAAAAAAATACAAAAAATATTTTTTGCAACACTGCTTTTCGACTTTTTTTTATTCATCAATAGATTTATCAGAACAGAGTAACCACTCATCGTCACTTGTACCCTCGCCTTCAAATGACCAGAAATTGTGCAATTGCAGAAATTGACGTGGCATTAACGTGGCATCGATTCAAGAACATCTTTGAGCACACGTGATGTCACCTTTTCATCGAGAATTTAGCCACGTGTGCCAATGCCACGTCAATTTCTGCAATTGCACAATTTCTGGTCATTTGAAGGCGAGGGTACATTTCTCGTACTTTTATTAGTGCTTTGTATCACTCGTCGGGTTTTGCTTGGTTTCGACCCTTCTAAACACGTCGAGCCACAGCAGGAGATAGTGAGTGTCAGTGTGAAATATCTCGGCACAACTTTGAGGTATATTGAAGGGCTCAGTTTCATAGTACTGAAATTTCTATTGAAAATCTCTTATGTAGTATCTCGAGGATGGCATAAGTTTGAGAAACCGAGAACTTGGCAATCGAACCACATTTTGTACAGTATGGCCAGGCGTTACTTCAAGCTCAATCGACTGGAGTTGTGGAAGCTCTTACAGGATTACTGTCCCAGTGACCGGGTCAAAAAATGGGCTCAAAGCTCATTTTTTCTTCCTGCAATCCGTCGTTGAGCAGTGCTTGTTGCTTCGCTGTATGCTTACTAGTTAGTGAGAATCGCTCTATTACGCTCTCCATGAATGTTAACGTAGGCGAAAATGGTCCAGCTGCTAGTGGCACTACTTACCACTAGGATGCGGGAAATCATGTCCAAGATCATGTGCCGCTTGGGCAACTATGCCTTCCATCCCTTCGGGGTTGGCTAGTAGATAAATGACTTCTGTGAGAGGAGGAGAACATCGACTTGCTCTCGCAATTCATTGCCAAATTCCACATGAAAAGGGTTGGGAGGTGATCTGGATGGAGGAGAGATGCTCAGCGCATCTCAGAAATAAGTTGATGAACGCCTAACGCTTTTATTCTTTTATGGGCACTTCAGATTGAATGGTCCGCAGCATTCTTCACCACGTCAGCCTTGTGGGGCTTACCATAAGATAACACAATATTTCAACTATATAGATTCATTTACTCTGAGTCTATTCATAAGGACTAGCCTCATTCAGGTGCTGTGTCCGCGCAGACTCAGGCATCACATCAGGGAGTGGATCCGCTTGACGAATGTCATTGCTCCATTGATAAAAGAGTTTCCTATAAAAAAGTTATTCAGAGCAAAGTTCTTTATTAAAGAAATGCTATAGCACAATTGTATTGAAGTGGACAAAGTTCTTTATTAAAGAAATGCTATAGCACTATTGTATTGAAGTGGAGTTTCGTTCAATATAATTTGTTTTGCCGCAGTTATGAATGAAATTGCTCATTTCAAAGCTTTAGGAGTGGACGAGTTGAGTTACTGTCTACTGATGAAACAGTGAGCCTTTCGATCATGGGGGCATCATGGACAGGCCGACCTCAAAATAGACCAGGCTCAGGTGCGGTCGCAAAATGCCAGACGAAGGATTCGCACTTTATTCGCTAGAGGGTTGGTGTTGCATGCAGGGGTGTCGCAACACTAAACAGAGCTGTGGTGGGCGTTACTATGGAAAACGGAAGCCAGATTCCGCACTCTGGAGAGCTCTAAACTAGGACCAGTCGTTCGCTATACCAATTTCTAAAGTTCTCCGACTCCACAAATTTGAAAGAGGATGGCTCGTCAATTTTCGGTCAAAGAAAGGAAAATGAGCCTTCTTCGAAGAATTTGAACGTTATCAAGGGAGCGGAACGTGGCGCATTGTCCTCTTGCTCGCTCTCCGATTGGCTACCTTAGTCGATTCCTCACCGTCGAACTCTAGTCGTTGACTCTCGTAGCAGAGAGGCCATTTAGAGCTTTTACATTACTAATTTCGAAGATCAATGTGACTCTCCTAAAGGGAAATCAGCGTGGGAAGCGAGCGTGTTGTGCTTCGTAGGCTTCAGGCCGTGAAACATGAGTTTCCCACACCACTACACCATCTATCTTTAGTTTCTTTCAGCAACTC